CAGAATCTCATCTGCCATCATCAGGCTTCTGTATTGTGTTCGTCTGTGAGTCAGACTTTTACAGTTGTTTTGTGTGTGTGTGTGTGTGTGTGTGTGTGTGTGTGTGTGTGTATATATACACACATATACATATACATATACATACATACACACACACACATGCATATATAACTTATGTATATATGTGTGCCTGTATATGTATGATTATATATTTATTTTCTTTTAAGAGTGGGCATTAGAATTTCATTTTTTTAATGTGTGCCAGTGTGTTCACAGAAAAAAAGTGACAATGAAGGTTGTCTTATCTCATTTCATCTTACCCGAGCACCTTTCTCGGGGAAGCACTTGCAGCCGGCTGTACAATCGCGACCCCCACAGAGTCCATGGTAAAATTTCTTCCCACCCTGTAAAAAAACAAAAGGAAACAAGAACAAAAGTTAACAATTTGGCACCTCTAACGGTAACTCACCTTCCTCCGAAAACATTCATTTGATGGTGATTTGGATAACTTATATTCAGTTGCAAAATGTGGCTCATCTTACACTGGACACTGAATCTCAGCTTGTGACGAAGCAAAAAATAGCTTTGGCCTCTCCTTACTGGAAAAGCCAGAGCTGTTGACTTCCACTTGTCCAAAATGAGTCAATACAACATAATAACATTTATTCAAACTGGACCGATATGAATCACATAGCATCCCGCAAACCCTCCTAGTGGTTTTTCAGAAAGAGATACAGAAAAACACCTTCGACCCTAGACCGGGGTCTCCAACCGTAAGCCTGGAGGTCTTCAACTTCAAGCTTTGCTGGCTGGGGAATTCTAGGAATTGAAGTCCTCCAGGCTTAAAGTTGCCAAGGTTGGAGACCCCTGCCCTAGACCCTTGAATCCCAAAACACTGAAATCCAAAGTAATCAATTATAAAACGGCAAAATATTGGAAATAGTAAAAGCACTTAGACTTATTCCTAGTGTTTTACAGACCTCTCTAAGGGGTTTACAGAGTCAGCATTTGGAACCCCAACAATCTGGCTCCTCATTTTACCAACTTCAGAAGGATGGAAAGTTGAGTCAACCTTGAGTCGGTCAGAATCAAATTTCTGGCAGTGGGCAGGATCAGCCTACAATACTGCATTCTAACTACTGAGCCACCACAGCTCATGCACATAAGTAGCTTTGGGGACGTAAGTTATGTTGGGAGTCAGGTTGTGTGGATTTCATTCCTTTCTATGTCGTGCATTACATATTTAACCTAATGTGAATGTATTGCATTTTTTAATTGTTGCAGCAAGGGAGAATATATTTATCTAATTTAGATTTCGGATCTGGGACTCTAGCTCTATCTTTCTTCAGCTACCAACATCTCTTTCCAAAAGGCTGGCTGGATTTCCAAAATCTCCGATAAACTCACAGCAGAGAAACTACTTTAAATCAACCGTGCCTCAACTCAATCCCAATTGGTTTTGAAAATAAGGAAACGCATCCTATAATAAAAGGCCACCTTCATATCCTACTTCTCACTTTCTTCTGCTTTGCTGGTCCAAAAAGGTCATCCTGCTCATTTGTGAATGAATGAAATCTGAGCAGGGGAGGAAGTGCAGCAGTTGGCAAACAACCAGGTGTTGTCTGTCACACAAGCATTTTATTTAAGGAAGAGGCTCCCGCGGGCCCTGCTAAGTGACTGAAACAGCAGGTTAAAGCATGCAGTCCCAAGAATCAGCTTTTGACCTTCTGGAAGGGAAATTCCAGCCTTTTGCTTTCCTTTTTTGGAACTGATATAACCAGGGGTGAGCTTCAAAAATTTTAGCAAGAGGTTCTTTGCCCGGTTGCTGGGTGGGCGTGGCCATGTTGGGCGTGGCCTAGTAAACCTCCTGCACCACGGCCGGGGGGGCGGGTTGTCCTCTCCGGGCTCCGGAGGCTCTCTGGAAGCCGGAAACGGGCCTGTTTCTGGCCTTTCTGGAGGCCCATTTTTCGCCCTCCCCAAGCGTCTGCACGCGCCCTGCACCTACCAAAACGGGCTACGTGGGGACTCCTGGGAGGGGGCCTGGATTGGGGCTGGGCGGGAGGGGCAGGGGCCAGCCTGGGGTGGGATTTGCAGGTTCTCCAAACGATGCAGAATCTTAGCTAGGGGGTCTCCTGAACTCCTGCGAACCCCCAGCAGCCCCCATCCCTGGATATAGCTGTAGAATGGGCTCCTTCGACTCTAGTTAGGAGTTAAGAGCCCTGCTTAACGCCCCAGCAATACAATACGGTAGAAATCAGAGTAGAGGGTTTTCACCAATCAGTATAATTGGAGTCTAGCTAGGATGCATTTTCAGGAGAGTAAAACCCTAAAGGGGAATAGCCAATAGAGGCAGTCCTCGACTCATGGCCACAATTGAGCCCAAAATTTCTGCGGTTAAGCGAGACAATTGTTAAGTGGATTTTATCCCATTTTGTGACCTTTTGTTCTGACCCAAACCTGGTTCCAAGAGAGTAAACACAAGACAAAGGTAACAGCACAACCTTTTACTGTTTCATTTACGAATCCTGTTTCTTCACAGATAAAAGGCTGCTTCCAACTAATTAGCTCCGACAAGAAAGAGCCTTGCCAAGTTTTTGCAAGGCTGCCAAGAACAACAGATAAAGTTCCTAAACAATAAATCAAAAGAGTCTCCAAACACCAACTCAGATATTCTGACGTCCACCAGGCTCGAGTATCAAACTTCTTTGCCTTCTGCAAAGAACTGTAGTTTCTCAGCTGGCTTTTATCTTCCCAGGGAGGGGCCATTACCTTGTAATGGTAATGGACTCGGCCTTACTCCCGAGTCGCCCATGCTGCTGCAGGTGCTTTTTCCTTCGAGCAGCCCTTCGTGCTGGGCACAGGCTCCTCGGAGGCCTCTTCATCGCTGCTGCCAGCCTCCACAATCTCAAAAGGCAGCACTCCACTCCCTGATGGTCCTTCCTCACACGTAGGCCCCTTGCTCTCCAAGACTTCAGCCATCCACACCTGCTGCCGGCGAACCACAACATCTTTCTTGCCACAGTTGTTAAGTGAATCACCATAGCTGTCAAGTCAGTAACAAGGTTGTTAAGTCAGTCTGGCTTCTCCACCGACATTGCTCGTCAAAAGGTTGCAAAAGGGGGTCACAGGACCCCAGGGCCCGTGGTGGGATTCAAATAATTTAACAACCAGTTCTCTGCCCTAATGATTTATTCCAACAACCAGGTCACCAAACTGATCAGAAAGTTAACAACCGGTTCTCCTGAACTGGTGTGAGAACTGGCTGAATCCCACCACTGCCCAGGACACTGCAGCCGTCATATATATGAATCACTTGCCAAGCATCTGAATTTTGATCAAGTGACCATGAAGCTGCAACAACAATCATAAATGTGAAAAATGGTCGTAAGTCACTTTTTTTTTCAGTGCCATTGTAATTTTGAATGGTCATTAAATGAATGGCCATAAGTCAAGGATTACCTTATTGACAATTTAGCTATCTCTGCAAATCCCCTTGTCTTCACCTAACATTCCTCTGTAGTATTGAGCCTTTCCAGCATTGAGCATATAATAATAACCTGACTGCAGTTGTCATATATAATGATTAGTGCTTTGTAAAAGAGCTGTTTGTACATCTTAGCGCTCAAGAAGTAAACCCCGTAATTGCTCCAGGCTGCCTCCAAATAATATATATATATATATAGTTACAAGCATCAATTTAGTATCTGTTTAGAAGCCAAGGTACTAATTGAGACATCACAACAGCCATTGCCCAATTCATTTTGCGAGTTCCCTTGGTGAGAAAGCTGCAGGCCAGTGCAACTTTTTCCTTTCTTTAACGGATCCTTAGAAAAGGGTAAATAACTAGAGATTCCAAAAATGTGAGGCATGGGCCAAGGCTATTAGATTTCATACAAAGACTCAGGTTATGTAATAGGAGGCTTACAGGATTAGAGAATATTGCATTTGTGGTTCTTAATTGGAACACAGGCAAGCTAAGTTGGAGAAGAGAAAGTAAAGCATTCAGGACTTGGGCACAATAAGAAAGGGAAGATCTTTTTCCATGCTCACTACCTGTGCATAAAATCTCAGGGGCAGCTCCACTGTTTAAACCTTGAATGAAATTAATTGTGGCATTAACGGACATGGAAACTAGCACCAGGCTTAAAACCATCTCCTATTTATCTTTTAGGAGTCAGCCAGTCAGTCTATCACAATCTTAGTGCAGGGTATGTAATGTGATCCTGAGTGCTCAGAGTTAATTCATCTTAAGAGGTTGTAAATAAAATTCAAAACAAAATTAAAATGCATCTAGACAACAGCCTGATTAGAATGCATAAGTGAAGCCCACAAGGAAAAATGGATGCCTACGGCAGTATCTAAAATGATATAAAATGGGATAACATCTAAAATTACAAAAATGTAACAAGATCTAAAATTTGTGTCAAGTGTGATATATACAATTACCCGAAAAGATACAAAATATAAACTACAAGTACAAAACCTACCCACAGGCATTGTAAGAAAAGGCAACTCAACTCAATATAATCTGATCAGGAGATCTGCTGATCAGACTGAGAATAAATCTGATTGATAGAACATAGAATAATAGGGTTGGAAAGGACCTTGAAGGTCTTCTAGTCCAACCCCTCTATACCATTGCAGTCCAATTTCTGTCCAGTCTCTTCTTAAACACCTCCAGTGATGGAACACCCAGCCCTTCCAGAGATAAATGGGGAGGGGGCCTCAATGCTAGATTGGACCCCAATGACCAGACACTCTACCCACAGCACTTATGTCTCTTTGAATCCTGAAACTAATGGATTCCTCCTCACCAGCTGTTCTAAAGACCAAAAATCAAACTTTGTTGGTCGGCTCAGTCTTCATAGGACACAGAATAACAACGTTGGAAGGTATCTTGAGGTCTTCCAGTCCAACCCCCGCCCATGAAAGGAGATCCTGTATAGTATTGTAAAAGGAGCAGTAAAGAAGAGCATGATCTATAATTTCCACCTTTCCAGAATCATAGTGACAAAACCTGGTAGGTTTATGTTTTAGGACTTGAGCAAGATTAATTATTTATGTATTTTTTTTAAAAAAAAGAGTTTTATCTTAAGGCTAACAAATTTAGAGGAGGGTTTATTAAGGGTGCAAACCTCAGTCCATCATTTCTGTTGCTGCACTCAATGACACTGTGTTTACCTGTGGTTCATAGGTAGTTTTTGACTTACATCCATTCATTTAGCGACCGTTCAAAGTTACAATGGCACTGAAAAAAAGAGACTTAGGACTGGTCCTCCTACTTACAACCGGGGCAGTATCCATACGGTCTTGTGATCAAAATTAGGGTGCTTGCAATTGGCATATGTTTAGGATGGTTATAGTATCCCATGGTCATGTGATCATCATTTGCTGGCTTCTGATA